CTGTTGACTTGAATGGTTATGCTTCCCGTTTGTCAGTTAATGGCCTTTCATTTTTAACCAGAAATGTGCACTCTGCTTTTCTGGTGTTCACTGAAGTTTTCCATGCCTTTATTCTGTCATAAATCACATACCATTCATTGCTGAACTTTCTACCGTCCGTTACTGGAAATGAAATTAAATTACTGGTTGATATGTCCCGATCTCAAAGTTTACACACGCTTTTGGTCTGTGAATTAGATCTCGCTCGGGACGCGAGCTGTCTGTGGAGGTTTGGCCAGGACCGGTTCCAGAATTAAATCAACATATTTTATGTTCCGTCCATTGCCAATCACTGCAATTTCGAGAGTGAATCCCACATAAATATGCGGATGTCATTCCCGAAACTTTGCAGGGTGTAGCCTATCTGTCCGAAAAATTAAATTCTGAATGGATTATACCCTAGAAAGTGCGCAAAGCACGCTCCCTTTATCACTAAAAAGCGTCACTCATCTTCGTTCATCGCAATCTTACAAAGTTCCGTTATAATCAATGAAGCTCTCTAAACTGCACAATGAATCTCTTATTTACATCGCGTCTGCACTTAGTCATGAGATGATTCACGAGCGTGCAAAACTGCACTTAAAAACTGCGGCGCTTTCAGCGGGGAGTGAATTCTGACAAAACGTTTCTGATTGGCCATTGCGTTTAAGAAATCAACAGATATGTCTGTGATTGGTTACATTGCTCAACGCTGCAAAAACACATTGAGGGTATTTAGCGCTTGGCTAACCGCTCCAATTGCAGCGGGCCGACATCAGGGATTCCATGACTAACAATTTGGAGGGGCAATTGCCCCCCTTTGCCCCCCCTAATGTCGCCCATGGCTCCAGTGGCGTAGATGGTAAAGCGTGTGCCATGGATGTTCTGATGCGATCGATCAGAGTTCGAATTTGCCTTTTTCCAAACTTTTTTTTTACCCTTTTCAAATCTCGTATCGCATCGGAAAGCTATTTATTTTGTCAATAAAAATGAAGGAAATAATAGAATAGTTAAAAATAAAGTATCGGGTAGGGTTAGGGTATGTGTACGGAGGGCTTTATTGTCCCAATAAGGTGGCATCCATTTTAAAATTTGAATTAAAATTACAATTTACACTCAATACGTTATTGCATAGTTTTATAATAAATTTACTAAAATATTGAGATGCAGATAATTGCCACTATTTAAAATATGTAGTATAAATAGCATTTTATCATAGAGTAAATGGATTCTATAGCTAGCATATTTGCACTTGGTGTAAATAGCATATCACTAAGAAAATACTGCTATTTTCACTTACTGTAAATAGAATCTATCGTTAAGAAAATATGCTATTTGCACTTAGTGTAAATAGCCGCTGCCATTGATTTTTAATTAAATTTGTTTATTTTGATAATATTTAATCTTTTAAAATATTTTATTTAATGTGTAATTTTAGTTTTATTTTTTTTGCTGTAGAGCTACAATTATAATTTGTAGATAATACAATTTATTTATTTACTTTTATGTTTTATTAAAGCTCTATTTTGACCCCTATATTAGGTGTTTTTTTATTTCCACAATATTTGGTGGAGGGGACACAACATTACAATTCTGCTTAGGGCACCAATTTGGCCAGCAGCGGCCCTGATGTTGAGTGTATGGTGTCTTGGGTCATGTGAAGGGTGTTTGGAGTCATTCTGAGTTTATGGTGTCTGGGGTCATGTAAAGGGAGTTGGGGTGTCATGTTGACTATGGTTTCAGGGGTCATGTGCAGCGTGTTTTACATAATGTCAAGTGAACGGTGTCTGGGATCATGTGTAGGTTGATTGCGGTCATGTTTAGTGTATGGGTGTCTAAGATCATGGGTCATGTGTAGGGTGTCTGGAGTGATGTGAAGGATGTTTGGAGTCATATGGAGTTTATGGTGTCTGGGGTCATGT